TTTTAATGTTTTTCTTAATTTATTAAGAACTCTGCATGATATGAAAAGCACAAACTACATTATAATATATCTAGGATTTATTGGGGGTGGGGAGTTGGAAGAGATAAAAGCTAGTCTGCAAAAGCCAACCCCCAGGACACATTCAGACCACAGGATTTTTCAGCTGACAAGAAAAAGGAAGCCTGGAGATTAGGTTTGTTGAAATCCTGCCTTGAAGATGAGACAGAATCTAAAGCAGAACCTGTCACAAGAACAAGCAATAATAGATACATTTCAATGGACCAAAAAGCACCTCACAAAGTACCATACAAAACACCTCTTAGAAAAACTGAAGTTAAACAACAGCTAGAACATATCTGTCACTTCCAAATCAAAACTCAAGATGGGGGGTGGGGAGAAGACCCCACTGTAATTTTGTATTTATTCTTCACAGCTCCTCATTTCATATCCATGCTGTTTTCATTTGCCTGACTCCTCCTGTTCTCTTAATTGGTGAGCAATATAAATATTTTCCGGAGTGGAAGTTGGTGCTAAGTTCCTTAGATACAACACAGTACTCTTTCAGGTGCAGAAGTGTGACATCTTGCATGCTATGTCTACAAGAACAGTCTTGCATACTCTTTCTGGGACCACTGGTACCTGTACCAACACTTACTAGGCAATTATTATTGACCACAACAAAGCATTCATCAATATTTAATTCCCCAAGCAATAAATTTTTTAATTAATCATAAATTTACAGTCACTTGCTTAAGTTGTCACTCAGTCAGTCTAGTAGTCAGGCCTTCCCCAAAACACCCCTCACATAATTTACAATGCAAAAGTACTATGTTTCTATACAGACAAACAGAACCAGTAATGAAATGTAGTCATGACTAAACTTACACGCATATGTACGTGAAGTGGAGGAGGTGGCGAACAGGAGGAGGAAAAAATGTTTTACATTGAAGTTGTACAACGAAATCTCTTGAAGAAGTTTAGCTTGTTTAAAGACTACTTGGATGAAGAAAATCAGAACATGCCAAAATCTAGCCATAGGAAGGGAGAAAGGGCATAGCATTCATGCATATGCTGCCAATGAGAGATCATACAACAAAAATTAACTTACATCAAGGATAGGACTAGTGTCAGTGTGCTGTCTCAAATGAGTTATTTATAAATTAATATTATGGGGGCAGAAAAAGGGAAAAAAAAGGAGAGAGAAACAAACATGCACATTTGACTACACATGTATGTCTAAAAATATACATTAAAATACCTCTTTCTCTGTTGTCACGCCTGTCCCGGTCACCATGCCTTCTTTCAAAGGAGGAATCCCTTGCTTGTTCTCGACTGTCATAGCGATCCCGATCAGTGTAGCTACTCCTTGATTCCCAGCTGTCATGGTAGTTTCCACTACTGCTGTGACCATCAACCTGGGATCCTCTAGTCCCCCGACTCCCTAATAGAGATGTTTCAATATAAAAGATGAGTTCCCACATGTAAGGAAATCCACTGATATTTTATACCAACTAAAGTGGGAACTTCTAATAAACTTGAGTTAACTGTTCATGGAGACAGAAATGGTAGTGTCAAAATCTACTTAACCAACAACTCTCAAATGTCACGTTTTAATTGTTAAGCTATTATTTTCAAACTGCAAACTCAAGACTTTCTAAAACCACCATTCCCTGGTGGCAGCATGAGGTCTCCTGACTAGGAATATAAGAGTCCAAAAACCAGTTCATATTTGTTCTGAGAAGGATGTAAACTTATAGACAGTGCAGCAGGACTAAGCATAGAAAGTAGAGATCATTTTTCCTGTAAAAATTGTATGGCATCTTCCTAATGAAAATGTCACAATAAGCCTGAGAAAGCCAAAACATATTTACTATAGATGATTAGAAGGTGATAAGTGAAGCTGTTCTACAAAGTATGTCAGGCTTTCAAAAATACTGCCAAAGGTTAAAATCCCACTCTGTTTGGTCAATCAAGAAGTGCAGGGTGGGGAGGTGAAAGATAGTTTTCAGGTACCTAAGACACCCAGTTGCTTTTGAGAGAAAACAAAAAACCTGCTGCCCAGTACTTTGAAACACACTGCCCCGTACAAATCTTCCACTACACATCAGCCTCTTATTTATGTTTGTAGCCCATGGGAAAACCTAGGGTTGCAGAAACATTAAATAGAGTGGCGTAAGGGCTAGGGTTTGTTTTAAAATGGGATGACAGAATACCAATGTTATGTCACTTTAAAGAATGGAGAACACAAGTGCTGTAAAATTTAAGCAACTGCTCTAGTTTAGCAACAATAGAATTGACCATAGCTTTAAAAGCATGAACTATTTGGCAGCACTTCCACATCGAATATCAAACAAGATAGTATGAATGTCAATATTCAATCTCCAATGATGGGGACACTTATTATTTTTTTAAATCACGCAATACCCTTGTCAGATAATTCTGGACCTCTGCCTCGACTTCTGCCAGTTCTATCACTTCTGCTCTCATTTCTGGAGTCACTTCTGGAGTCATTCCTTGTTTCAGCACGAGAGCTCTCCTCTCTGCCATGGGATCTTCCATAGCTGCGCGAGTCCTCCTGATACTGGTCATCCTTTTTATGGGCATCGCGACTCTCTCTGTCTCTGTAGTCATGGGAATCTCGAGTGGAGCGTGAGTCTCTCTGATCACGACTATCTTTGGTGTCTCTGCTATAATCCCTCGTATCTCTGGAGTCTCGAGTGTCTCTGGATTCCCTTGGCTCCCTCCGATCTCTGTTGTCTCTTGTCTCCCTCCGATCTCTTCCATCACGAGACTCTCTGTCATCTCTGTGATCCCTGGAGGTACTCTGCTCCTGGTCATAATCACGATCATCTCTTGTTTCTCTTTCTTTTTCCCTTTTCCCTCTCGTTTCTGTAAAATGTTTAAAAGAATGTTATATACCTAGCTTAATCAGAGCAAGCAAAAATTTAGCACACAACACTAAAATAATACAGTCAAAACATACTTATGACATATGCACAGAAAATCAAAATTAATACCCAAGTAGGACAAGATCATATTGGGTATCTACCTATACATTCAGTAAGCTTTAAAGATCTTTTCATGAATTTGAACCTGTACTTTACAAATATTTACCTGTTCAAAAGACAGTAAGTATAATAAAAATAAATTTCAAACATATTAGAGAGCAAGCAAACTTCAATAATTTTAAGGTAGAATCATTTCTCCTCCAATCATAGATTCCTTTTTTCTTTCCCCCCACACACATATTTTCAGGAAATTTGTGCTATATTTAGACCACTTGCTTTTAAGACCTCAATGCTCTGCTAAAGTGTTGGTTTTTTTGTTTTGGGTTGTTTTTTTTTTTTAAATTACATATTTATAATGTTACTGCTACAGGAAGGCAAGTTTACAGCCAGTCTAGAAAAAGCTGACACATGTACTCTTCATAATCTGTCTCTTGAGAGAAACAGCATGTTTGCCCATCACAAATTGCTCAAACAGCTTTACAAATTTCCAGAGGGAATGACTTTGTTTCTTTGCACACATCTCACTTAATATCAATTAAAAAGACAATAGACAGAGCAATTAGTGAGGACTGGGTTAGCATTTGGGCACCTCAGAGAAAAGAATAATAGTTACTTACAGGTATCCTGCTGTCACTCAGCTGATCTACTAGTATATACCTGATACCAAGAGAAGATCACTTACCTACTGACATAACCCTTGCATTACACAAGAAACACCTAGACAGATGTCTACAGGATCTTTAAAATCAGCTAAGCCTACATAAGCAGTCCTATCAAGAATACTCCATTGCACAGTCCCTGAAAACAGCACCAGCAGCACAGGAGCGATAATACAGCTAGTGTTTTCTTCACCCCCTAGCCATTGGGATAGGTGCAAACAATGCTACAATTTGAAAACCAAGTTTCAGAACGAAATTTACAGACAAATGAAAATTATTCTGAAGTGCTATTTTTTATTCATACCATCCCGCCTTTCGTGGCGCCTATCATGAGACTGTGAAGTCCGATCACGATCATGTCTTCCCTTTTCTCTTCCAGGAGATCGGTGTCTCGAAGGGCTTCGCTTCCTCTGAGGAGGAGAGGAAGAGTGTGGGGGATAGGGAGAAGATGATCGCCTTGCAGGCGGGGAAGCTGTCCTTTGATAGGATGGAGAAGGAGTTCTTTTGCGGTGTGGGGAAGGAGAATGTCTTTGAACAGAGGAGCCTGACTGTGACGAAGAGGAGTGATGCCTGGAAGATATGGGAGAATGATGCTGACCTGATGGGGAAGCAGACCTGCAAAGAAGAGTTAGAATAGGCACACATGTAATAACTTGATATGAAAGGTTCTCACCATACCCTAAAAAAGTGATTAAAATAATTTGTGCATTCTCTACCCTCTGTCTGCTGAAAATAAGTGCTTTTTCTAGAAAACATCAAACTAGTCTTCCCTTAAGGGTACCAGGATATCCTTTCAAAGTATCCTTATCTTTAAATGGCTATAGTTTATTTAATATCCAAGAAAAAGTTGTCCAATCAGAATTATATTACACAGCTAACAGAATGCTTTTTTTGGGGAAGGGAGGGCGGAGTCAGAAAAAAACATGATCTTCTCCCCCACCCCCAAACCAAGAACAATTGTTTTCCTCAATATAGAATGCTTTTTGGAGTTCATGGTAAAATTAGGAGAAAACTTTTACACAGTGTTATCTAAGGGGAATTTTTCTTCTTGTTTCCAAAAGCATTCAGCTTTTTAGAAAGCAACAGTGTATCCTTCTTGTGCACTTTTAACTTCTTTTATTACAAGCATTGATCTTTAAACAATTTTTAGGCCTATATCCTGAAAACCCATATGCATATCTACTTAAAATTTTAGCAAACATGAATGTTTACACAAACAGGGAAAATGCATATCTAATGGAATAAGAAAAAGTATACAAAGTGTCTCTCATCTTCAAAATCCCATCACTTAACTAAAGATCATTTACACAACAGTAAACAAATTTCCTCATAATACGTTATCTCATGCACAGTCTAACATGGACAAAAACACACTTCAAGACTTTGAGCTCAGTAGTGGGTTTTTTTCCCCCGTTATCAGCATCAAAGCAACTTGCAAGTATCTTTTCTCATGAAATATGCATTGCCCTTAACTCCCAATTCCCTTCCACTCCACAAAATTCCAGAGACTCCAAAGAGGAGAGCAGGAGTCAGAAAAACCACACATGGACAATACATCTTCAAAAATCCCACTTAATTTTAAGTAATTTAGTTCCTGTTTTTGAATGTCCATATACAGTGTTGGTGACTTCAAATAAACATCCAGATCATAGAGATGAAGCTCTCAGTTTCAGGTGACTCACAAATGAGGGACTACTTTACCAAAGGCAGTAGTACCTCCCTGCAAGCTTCTGCAATAGCCCAGCAGTTGGTAAAGATATATATGTAACACAGCTTTTGCTGAATATCGTGCAAACGTCACAAGAAATTCTTCTCAGTGAGACAGCTGATGTAAGTTGGGCTCTGAAGAGAATGAGCACTGGAATAATTCAGGTTAGCAGGCTTACAGCTTGTCATGACACTATCCAAGAGCCAATGCACAGTTGCCCAGCCAATGCTACTCAGCAGTGAATCTCCTGGCTAAGGCTTCTTAAAGACCAAGACTCTGCAGGTAAAAAGATTCTCCTCATGTCAAGAACACAGAGCAATGATTCAGCTTCCAAAGAGCAAAGCTTTGGGAACAGAATGCAAAGTGAAATCACTGGCAACCTAAGGCAGGAACTCAAGTCTGTAAGGAAGTCCTTTTTGGTTAAAAGACAACATGCTGGAAATCTTTTAATATCAGCACTTCATCCTTCCTTCCAGTCAATGTCAGTGACTCAAGAAAACTCCCATGGAGTAGTATGCTGATTACCATAGGACCAATCTCATGAAGATGGTGGTTTTACAGCCAAATTCCACTACAGAACCAGATATATTCACTAAATGAAGCATCTTGACTTGATTGTTGAGGCACTTCAGACTTGTCAATTAAGAGAAGTCAAACAAAGTTTTTGCAGGACAGGCTGAAACGATGCTTGAACTCAGCCACTTCATCTCTACTACATATACCCAGAAAAGTGGCAGAAAGAAAGAAAAATATATAAAACCAGCCTTTGGAAGACGCTTAACTAGGACACTCTGAAGAACAGGCTGCATGTATTTTTTCAATTTAATTCACACTGTGTCTGTAAGCTGGTATGCTCAGATATTGCCAGGCCTGGAGACTATCCTACCGAGATGTGTTTATGATGGTCAATGCTAGAGAATATTTGGACACCTCAACTATAGACTAAGATTCTGTATCTCCTTGTCTGAAGACCTAAAAGTGCATAGGATCCAGCTGATGCGCTTCTGATGTGGCTTAGGGGTGCCTGTAATTTCTATACACAGTCTGACCTCCAGGATACTTATGTGTAGCTTCTTTCATCTGGAAAATTAAGAAGCCTCAAGGTCCCTCCCCTTGTGCATGCTACCAGTAAACATTCCTCATGGATGGCAGGACAGAGGAAACTCATTTCCTCTGTCTCCATGGACATATACTCATGCTGGCTGCAGCTTTCCATCACAAGAGGGAAGGTCTGACCAACAACTGCTCCTGAGGAAACAAGTAGCCTGCGTGCCTTTAAGATGACAATTTGTACACATTATCACATACAAATGAAACAGATGGGAATTAGTAGTAAAATTTCCAAAGTACTCAAAGTAAAATTCTGTCAGGGTCAAAATGACTGACAGCATCTAATATAATGTCATGACTTACCATCTTTAAACTAAGACTGTGTTTACTTTTCACCATGAAACCATTGTTATGAAACACAGGATTACGAAAATTGTCTTGCATGGAAGGCTATCAATGGTTTGGAGACAAACAGAACATTTCAAATATCCTTCTCTGCTTCGAACAGAAGGCCCATTTATCTTCCCTGCTTAACATTCCCTTGCACAACACTCAATACGTCTGCACAGAACCCCAAAGCAGGCAGTGACGAGCAAAATATTGGAGTAGGTTAGAAAAAGTGGGGAAAAGGGTACTGCAAAGGTATTTTTCAATTGCATTACTACTGCCAGCTGCAGGGGGAACAGACTGCTCTACTCCCTTCCCTATAAACAATCCAATTTAAAGAAAATGTCCATCAGTGACATCTAGCTTAATACAATACATTGTTCCAGCTGAACTGAGCCATCACAGCAGCAAAAGAGCTTGCTTATGACTCTTAGGATTGCTGAATGCATGGGGTTTATTTTGCTTGTTTTATCAGCATGCACATATATATGACATCTGGTGTCTTTCCCCACCCTTCATCAGAAGTGCAGAAAATAAGTATGCTTCCCTCTCCATTATACAAACATAGGACTGCAGTAGTATTTAGCACTGCCATTGTAAACCTAAGCTTACAGACTCCTTCAGACCAAAATAAGAAGCCTCCTACTTTGTTTTTAATGGGTTGTAAAAGACTTTTTTCCTAAGGCCCCTAGAACTAGCAGGATGGTATCTTCCCTGAAGCTTCCTGCAAGAAGGGTCTCTGAAATTGTCCTCATATTGTACTGTTTAGCCAGTTGTGCTTGCTTTTCAGGAAAGATGTGTAGAGCCAGGATCTGTGTATCACTTTACCCATTTTAGAATGGAGAAACTCTGCTCCTTCCCCATCTCCAAGATAGAAGACTTCTCACATTTTCTACTTTTTAAGAAGGGGGAAGGTGAGGAAGGAAAAAAAGAAGTTCCCAAAGGGTCATAGACTATGTCTCGTATCAGACTTCTGAAGTTCTGAAGCCAAAACATTTGAGAGGAACTGACAAATGGAAGCCTGCACCATGACTTCTGTTCTTGACATGAGAGGTACTCTCAATGTAGTAACTTGGCCAACAAAAAGAAAAAAGTCTCAGAGCCCAAGTGTTTGAGGCACACACATACTCACAACAGACACATACAAACAAGCAGTCAAACCAACAGAGGAAGTTTCTGAACTAGAACTATCCATGGAAATAAAATCTATGCAATTGACCTCCCACCTGCGAGAGGGTGAGAAGTTATGTTTGTGAGTGGTTGACTTGGCTGGAGCTCGGGAGGTTTGTCTTCGCCTTGCAGCAGGCGGTGAATACTCCCTGGAAGGGGAAGAATTACTGCCAGAATGATCTGCAGGACTAGGAGAACGCTTCTGTCTATGGGAGCTTTCAGAGGGATCCCTGGGAAACATAAAAAGCAGCTTGCTTAACAAGTATAATATGGCATTAGTACATTTCTAAGTAATTACAAACAACTCCAAGACAGAACCTGTGCTTACAAGATCAGGAACTATCTTATAGAATCATTTGTTCTATTTATAATTTCATATCCAAAATTACCTTAAGCTAGCAAAATCAAGAATGCAAGATATGCACCAAATTTCTTGCTAATCACTGGACTGTAAAATACAAAACTAGAATATGAAAAAACAAAAAATATATTCTTGTAATTTTATCCAATATTTCATGTGGTGGTGAAACAGAATTCCTCTCAATGGAGAATTATCTTGCTACCCTATTTAAAAATCTCTGTAATGTCAGAACTATTTAAGAAGCCTCAAGCTCACAGACATTTTCAAATACTAATTACGGTTGCAAATGAATGAGAGAGATCTGTAAGAACCTTCAAGTATTTAACTTACTGTACATCATGAAGATTTGACATTTCTTTCTTAATTTTTATTATTTAGGGAAATGTCCTAGTTTTGGCTGGGATAGAGTTAATTTTCTTCCTAGTAGCAGGCATAGTGCTGTGTTTTGGATTTAGTAGGAGAAGAATGCTGATAGCAACAACTAAAACATCAGTGTGTTAAGTACTGCTTATGCTAGTCAAGGACTTTTCAGCTTCCCATGCTCTGCCAGGTGCACAAGAACCTGGGAGGGGGCACAGCCAGAAGAGTTGATCCAAACTGGCAAAGGGCTATTCCATACCATATGACGTCATGCTCAGTATAGAAACTGGGGGGGGTTGGCTGGGGAGCAGGGATCGCTGCTCAGGGACTGGCTGGGTATCGGTCAGCGGGTGGTGAGCAATTGCATTGTGCATCACTTGCTTTGTGTATTATTATTAATTATTATATTGTTATTATTATCATTACCATTTTACTTTATTTCAATTATTAAACTGTTCTTATCTCAACCCAGGAGTGTTTCTCACTCTTACTCCTCCAATTCTCTCCCCCATCCCACTGGGGTAGGGAGAGTGAGCGAGCGGCTGCGTGGTGCTTAGTTGCTGGCTGGGGCTAAACCACAACAGGAAAAAAAGACAAAAATCCAACACTTAAATAAAAGGCTGTAGTCACCACAGCAATACCTGATTATAGTACAACGATAAGCCAAGTAATCTCTTGATCCTTTCAGCAATATCTAGAATGTTCTTTCACATTGCTTACAAACTCCTTCCAGTAATGGAGAGTGCAAGCACAAAGGAAATAATATATTTTAAAGTAAGAATGGTGTAATTTATTTAATCAATTAAAAATACACAATTCACTGGTCTTCCACTCCTCAGTCTTTGCTATGCCAGTTACAAAGTAAACACTTATGAACATGTACCCTATTTTCATCAACAGAATACAGGACTTAAAAATGGAGATGTATTTTTTAACTTAAATGGACACCTATGCTTCAGAAAATAACGGGAATAGTCATATTAGTCTGGCGGGGGGCGGGGGGAAGAGAGAGATAAAAAAGTGAAGTAATCCTAAAATTGCAGTAGTCTTTGACTACTTCAGAAATACTTTTAACCTGATGAAGATTAGGGAAGTTTAAACATGCCACTGCCAATTTAGAAAGATATTAGTCCTCTAAGATTTCAGAAGAGCAGGCAAGCGGACAAGTGAACAACTGTGATAAAGAATTGCTCCATTGGTGAAGGTCCAACTTCCTGAAAAGTACTCAATCTTTTAAAAGGGTATTTTACAAACTAAGTTATGTAATTATAACTTAACAATCTGTTAGTTATAGTCTATCAATCTATCCGTATAACGCACTTAAAATATTTAATGAGTACTGGAAAGGTTGTTGGCAAAGCAGGTAGAAATCCCTTATTATTCAGTGTTTTATAAAAGATAACTTTAAAAGCGAGGTTACATTAATGTTAAAAGCTAATAATACAATATAACTTACCTCTGTTTCTCTTTTTTCTCCTTGTGCCTTTCAAAGTCACGCCCTCTCTCTTTCACCTCCCTTGCTTTTTCTTCTGAACGTTCTTTTGCTTTATGTTTTTCTTTGTGTTTTTTCCCCAGGGGAGTTTCCTCTTGCACTGGAGGAGGAGGACTAGGGGTACGAGGACCTTTCTTTTTACTCTGGTTACTTTTAGAACTCCTAGAGATAAATTAACAGGGGGGGAAAATGAAGGACTGCCAACTACTTCAAATGATGACTTCTCAGATGTTGGCAGGAAAGCTATAATGTTACGGGCCTTGAAGCTTTTAGGATAGGATTCACCACTCCATTAGCAAGCAGTGTTCAATAACTGTACTTGACTGAAGGGTGAATGCAGATGGTAAAAATTCACATTGAGGTCTTCCATTTATAACCTGTATTTCTGAAGCAAGTGAACAGAAATAGGAATTGCTCCCATTCAGACAGAACCCATTTTCAAAGTTAAAATGCCATTGCATGAACAGCACACATCAGAGGACCAGGACTACAGAGTTCTGGTCTGTTTATCTTGTCTGTTTAGGCTCCCACTTCTGCAATGCAATACCCCAATCACAAGCACAAAATGACTTGAACAACTCGTGTCTTTGATTTAATGTTGACTACTTCAGGCAGGATAAAGCATCCAAATGTTTTTGAATATGCAACTCACAATATGAAATAGTATATATTTTTCCACATAAACTACCACTGACATAAACCCTATTAAACTAGGTAGGACTGCACACTGAATGTCAGTAGCATACTAGCCCACACTGTACATTCTCGTAGCAGAAACGACATTGTTTTGTCCTTTTGTTTTGTTCTTTTAAAGGTGATTTTTGCTTAGCAAATACAGATGTGTCTGCTTACACTGCTGCAGTAATTTCTTTCCTATCTCAAAGCTGCAAACAGTGATTCAAAAGGTCCTCCAGCCAGCAAGAACTTAGAAACAGGTTTTCGAGACTGACTTTTTGTGGCAAGGCGCCCAGTTTGAACTTCCTGTGATTTTCACATACCTTTGTCCTTACTTCCCCCCCGCTTCTTTTCCCCTCCTCTATTCTGAGAAATTACCTGCCTTGAAAGTGAAACATTATTTCCCAAACAGCAATATGCAATACCAACAAAATGTGCAGTTGGTCAAATTTTAAACATTTCACTTCAGTCTAGAGGAGCTATTTCACAGGCTGCAGCATCTCAAATGAAACTGCTTCCCACTTTTTAATGGTTTATATTTTCTCATCACCTCCCAGAGACTCTAGACATTCAAAAAGACCTGCTTGTAAACCACAAAATTAATCAACTGACAACTAGACGTATATAACAATTTTCTGCATAAGATGATTCACAGTGCACAGTTTAGAGACCTTCCCCTGAAGTTATATAATCAAAAGTCCTGAAAGCAAGGAAAATGAAAACATATTAATTATGAAAACCCCAGTAACCAAAATCAGCATGGTTCTCTGTTCTCACTTTCTCGCAAGATGCATCTACATACTGACCTCTGCTGATCCAAAAGCGGGGAAGATACAGCAGATGCTTTCTTATCTTTCTTACTAGCTGAAGAAGATGATTTTGGACTGGATCTTCGTTTTGGAGATTTGCTAGACTTTCTTGGTGATGGCGATGGTGATAATTTAGATCTAACCACCTCTGGAGAAATCTTGAGGAAAAGAATATATTAACCGATAAGATACGGATGCCCAAAAGCTTACCTCTATGCTGATATACGTGTCAAATATGTAAGTTCAGTAACAGTCTACATCTGAGATCTTAACCATGTATACATCTACCTCAAATAAACTAACCACATTGTTTTCAAAGAATAGCATAAAAGGAAGACGACAGGAAAAGGGTGGGGGAAGAGAAGATGATGCACTCTGTAATACATTATAAAAACTGTAACTAGAAGTTTAAAATCAGTACATTTCCAATTAGCACTCAAGTTTGTCGGAAAAACAAAGACCTTCTTTCAGGCTTTTGGTTTTTTTTTTAAATCTTCCCCAAAATTTTACAGTTTCTAACACTTACAGCTTTGTCCCTATCACTCTATTTTACTCTGCTACTACAAGACATGTTGGAAAACGAGCTTGGCAAATGCCTTGTGTTTTCTTCTACATGTCTTCTCCATTAAAGGTCTTATTAGTTTTATATCATTAAAATGCATTAAATCCTACTCATTTAATAGTCAACTTCATAAAGCAGAAAACTTGGTTATGGTGCTGGATGATTGACCAGATACTCACAACTAATATCCAAGTCACATACTAAGTTATACATGTGCCAGTTATTTACTACCATGTAACACAATAGTGCATTTGTAGCCCAGGAAGCTCAAGTCTTCCAGGAAACAATTAGAAGCCTATGAAGTGGCTGACTTATTTTTTTAATTTCATATTTACGTAATACAAACCTCTTTTTTAATGACTATTTCCTCTCGTTTCTCCATGTTTTCCTGTTCCAGCTTCATGAGTTCTCTCTGAATCTTTTGGCGCTTCATTTCCAAAGACAGCTCATGGTCATAATCATAATTAACATCTCCATTATCTGAGTCTTTATTTAAAAAAAAAGTAAATAGATTAGTAAACAATTACATATGAAATAAATAATAATATTTAACATACTGGATGCCAAGCATAAATATTTCCATGACTTAAGCACTGCATGAACAGATCAATGAAGCTAAGCCAAATCTCTTCTCCAATTATGTCTGTAAACCTGAAATAACTCCAGTTAGTTCCATACAACCTGCAGTTAAATTCTTAAACTTCATTTAAAAAAAAAAAAACAACCAAAAAACCACCCCCCCCACCACCACCTTAACTTCTTTCAGAGACTTGCATCAATTACTAAGCTGAGGCAGCACAGGAAGCCCAGTAAACCATTTATTTATATTTAAATAACAAAAAAAATTAAAGGAGTGTGTCTTCACAAAGACCAAAAACATGTAGAGCACTACTTAATTGGGAAATCTCGCATGAAACAGATTTAAATAGAGATGCATGATACTAGAGGATTTTGTTTAATAGAGTATCCCACAAATCAATTGATACACTTATTTAATTACATCTACAAATTGATTTTAAAATAAAAAGTCGGCATGACCTCTTTTTCTGGATAAATGCACACTTCAGGAGTTTATTTCTGTTTTTAAAACATTATTACTGTTTGGTTTTCACATCAGAAAAGGTCTAATTTCTTGCACTTTTTCATTAAGTCATGGCTAGTTAATATCATATGCTTCAAGCCGAAAATTAAAGCAGTTTTACTCACTCTGTTTACATTTCTTATTTTGTTTGTGGCTATTTAAGTCTAATGCTCAGAAAGCACATTAGAAAAATAACTGTCAGAGAAAGATGACTTCATTAAAAAGTCATTAGCTTTTCACTCCCCTTCCTACACACAGGAACTATATAAAAGGTTTTTCAATAACTAAAGTCAGTCTACAAATTCCCTCCATGTGTCATGAATGCATTGGAACAGCTTACAGAGAGGTGCAGTTCCTAACAGCATAGGTTCTTTACCAGTCCATCCGTCTGCTTCAATAGCACTCATTAGAGCTTAACAGACAGCAATTCCACTTCATCCACATAACTGTGATCAATGCTATTTTGAAAAAATCGTAATTCTCAAGCTGAAAGCCTCAGTTTCTAAAACTTAAGACATTCATACTATATATTTATATAGAACTTGAGTTTTTTATGTTCCGAATTTTTTTGACTTAAGATTCTATTTCCGTGCATACGTGTCATAGGTCAATGTTTCTTAACTCATGCTGAAAACAAAATTTAGAGAGGAGTGAAAATACATTATGGCTACTTTTCTATTCATGTATTGTGCTTAAGACACAGCAAACCAACATTTGCAACACTTATAGCACATACTATAGAAAAGCTACCTACTTAATGGAATTTATAGAGGTGCTCCATCCCACAACCAACTTGTAGTATACTTTATTGCAAACACATTCATCACATCTGAATTCACTCAGAATGGATCAGGATTCCCATCTTCTCTTGCAATATTGTAACTACTTCTGAAACACTGACACTTACAAAACTACAAAAACACCACAGTTCATTAGAAGCTGCCATAATTTCAGGTGAACCTGGACTCTAACAACAGCAAAATTCAGGAGAGAGAGGAGAAAACAGACAGTCTTTTCCTCAACTGTCTGCATATTAAATGGATAAGTATTATCAACAAGGAGGACGAAATCACCTTTTAACCATTAAAAAAAAAAAAAAAAAAAAAGAAAACCACAAACAAAAAGCCCCACCCAAACAAAAACGACTACAGAATGTAATGCAAGACTCTTACCACTCTTTGAGTGTATTCAGAACCTAAATAGTTCACTGATTGCTACCTTCAGCTGTTGTTATACTCATTCTAATGGAGCCCTTGTTAATGAGACAGTTCACACCATTACAAATCATGCAACAAAAACCTGCTGACTTTTGAATTCAAAGGAGTTTCTTTCTCTCCTCAGACTGACCAGTTTCAAAATTACTTTGGGTATAACTTGGATTCAACTAGTGGTCTAAACGTGAAAGGTTCAGTCACTGAGTAGCCTATGGCCAAGTTCCTTGTGTCTGAGGAGTCAAAAAAGAAAAAAGAAAAAAAAGCATATGTTTTTAAAATAAGTTGGTTTTACCACTGTAGCAGTCCAACTCAGTTTGCTTCTTTGCTCTCCTCCAAAAATAAACATTAATGGCTACTGCATAAAAGTATTCTGCTTAGAGACCAAATCTTTAAGCATTCTGCTTTGCATATAGCCCAGTAATCTTGCAATTCTTTGAGCTGTAGGGGGACCATTAGTTTAATTATACTTACCTTCTCTATTTGTTTCCCAGTCCCCATTTTCCTCTTCACTTTCTGGTGTTCTCTCCTTTGTAATTTTGATATCCTCCTTTTCTCTATGTCTTCCTCGTGAAGACTCTTTCTATAAAGGGAAAAAGGCTTCATTAGAGTAAACAATTTTATTTTAAAAGAAGCCTGAAGAAGCAGGTATATTTTACATAGTATTTTGGCTGTTTCTTTTTTATAGTACAGAAAGCATTTTCCCCTTTAGCCTGTTGAACAAATACCTTCTTAAGTAAGCAAAGACTCCACAGGCAACATGTTCTAACACAATTTCAGATAATCAGTATGCAAATAGCAGATGGGGAAAGAGAAGAAAGGATTCATAAAATAAGAAGGTTTAAAGGCAGGGCAAGAATCGAGCACGTATCAGAGAATAAAGTTTAAAACAGGAACTGAAAGAACAAGTCAGGTTCTTAAGACCAGAAGTTTAATGAACATTTAATGAGTGTAATTTTAACAGCTTGAGTAAGAGTTCTCAGCTGTAAGAAAGAATATTTACATGCAAGGCAGATGAGCCTCAGAAGCTGAATCATTTAACTCTCCAGAGGACAAAGAATGGCGGGGCGGGGGGGGGCGGGGGGGAGGTGCAAAAATGGAGATAATAAAAAAAACAGAGTCCCTTGGCTGGCAGAAGGAAGGGGAAAAAAGTCTAAAGCAACACACTGGAATCAAGTTTTGTTGATAGCTTTATATTTGAACTTTCACTGGCCCTGAGTTATTAGACAAGTCCAACTATTGCAGTAGCACCCATTTTGCATGTGGCAGATGGTCCTGTGGACACCTGAGGAAGCCAGAGACTATTCTTACAGAGAAGACGACTATTTCAAAAGGCAACTGAACCTGGGCTGCTCTTCTCCCCCTGCTAAATTCCAGTAGTAAAGCTTCATAGTTGCGTCATTGCCTCTGCTGAACTGACATTCTCTAAACAATCTACCCGGGCTCAAGTGGAGTACAGGACAAATTTTTTTCACTATTTGCAAAAAAAGAACATTCAAGCTTAGAAGTATCTCAGGTTAATTTATTAAGTAGGAAATCAGAAAGAGCAAATAATGAAAGTCTGTCCCATATCCCTTTTGTTCTCACCTCCCATAGTGCCTTCTTTTGTCTTTGGGGGATTCTTCAGTGTTGATATGTAGGAACCTTTGTTTTTATGCCAAGAAAAGGAGATGCCTGAGAATTTTACTAGCTATTCCTTATTGGGACTTAGATCTTGACTTAATTGAAATGCTTAACATCACCTTAGAAATACAGTAAGGAAATAACATAACATTGTGGATAGTCACTCCCAAGCGAGTAAACTTCAACTATTCCTTTTTATTCACTAACAATGTTAAAATCTTATCTCTAGTTTAATGATGTAAACGATGACAGAACAAGCACTGCATTTATTTTACCTAGTGAACTAAAACAGACGCTTCAACACACAGTTATCTTCACGCCTCTCATCGCGATGCATTCAGTGTATCATATTCAAAGCCTTAGAAGGTTTGGAAAACACTGACCGGTCGCTACATAACATGAAGGAACTTCACATTAAAGAACTAATTTGTGTCATGCTTAATTTAAAGCAGCTTGTAGAATAAGGAAAAAGTTATTTTTTTTCTCCGTTTCATGACAGGATCTCTAAAATGATGCACAAGATCCTAACCTATCAATTCGTGTTGGTTGCTGACATCAACTGCAGACAAGTCTACATCAACTACGCCATCATCACAACATGTACTAAAGGCATTTCAGTCTAAGAGCAAGAATTGTACTACACTCCAAAGCAAGTTACTTTAAAAGAAAGTTACTCTGATGAGATCTGAAAATCTGTAACTTTATCAACAAGCCTGTCCTGCAACCATGCTTTTTCTTAGAGTATCTTAATTTTTCTAGACTGCCCTCCTTGAAGGCTGCATCTGTTCTATTAAACTGTGTACTTCTGCTATATACTCCAACTAATTCCTACGCTATAAACAAACAGTAAACATAATTTCTTAAATACAAATACTAGTTTCTATTAATTCAACACTAGTTGTTACCAGCAAACTGAAATACGCATGTTAGGACATCCTCTATATACTGATTTCAAAAAACTTCTCAAAAGCCAATTCCCCAAACAACTCGTCAGCAAGAGAGCATGCAGATAAGTCAGAATGTTTCAAGACCAATTTAATAACCCATGTTAAAAATACTACACAACCTATATGTATCTCGCCTACATCTCGAAACTTAAAACCAAACACAAGCATCTTGAAACAGCCTGTATTTTCTCCTTTCAGTGGAGAGATTCAGTAGTGGCACAATCATACTTCTACTGAAGAACTGAGAATAAAAGCATCTATGAAAGGAATTTTATTGAATTACTGAATATAGGGGAACGGAATAGACAGATTTTATGCAAGCATGCTATTTTACAAGTCAGGACAACTTGATCCAAGCCCGTTCATACACTAAATGACTTCAGTTTAGTTGTCAGGAAAAAAGATTCTGGTAACACTGTATCTTGAAAAACAAATTTCAGTTCAGAAATTGAGTATGTTTTCCTGGGGGACACAAATAAAAAATGTAAGTTACAATGGTTTAGAACACATTTGAATTTTCTCATCAAAAAGTCTTCAACATATTCCTTTTATTGTACTTGTTCCACTTACAAAGCATTTAATTCTGTCATACTGTGGGGAATAAATACTTCCTTCATATCCTTATAGACCGTCTTGTACTTTACATACTTTTTTTCATGTCTCCCTTAACAAGCCAAAAATAAAGTCAGTCAAGCTCCTAAAGGCCAATAGCATGTCTTTCACTTGTACTTGAAGATGCTGTATCCACTTCAGCCACACCTGTAAATTATTTCTCTTCAGACTCTGAAAAAATGCCATTTACTAGATGAGAAACAATAAACTTAAATAATTATATTATTATGTACTAAAAAAATTGCAGATTGTCCTCAGAGTAAACAACAACTTAGTAGACTTTGTCTACGCTGTTTTCAGGTATGTGCTCACAGTTAAACTATTTACATGTGTTGGATAGATGATTACAGTTTAATGTTGACATTCAGGAGAAATACTACTTAAGAAAGGGGGGGGAAAAAAAAAAAAAAAGAAGGCTGAATTCTGTGAGATTTTATTTAATTTAATGTCTACTTAAGTTGAAGTTCCACACCCCAAAACATATGATCAGCACTCTACAGCACAAGACTTGACATCTACTTGAATGAATTTCCCACTAGAGCCAGAAGAGTTTGGCCAAGCATGAAAGGACTCATCCAGTCTGCAAAACATGCTTCTAGCCAAGAAGTGTTATTTCACCAGCACCGATGGAGATAATATTTATAAGACTCTTAGAACCTACAATTCTTACAAGGCAGAAGCTTCAGCTTCAGCCTTACCAACACATGTACATGCAGCAGCAATATAAACTAATTCAAAAGCACAGATTCCTTTAAATCTAGAATAAGCTATCATGTATTACAGCTAGAATCTTTTGGGCAAGCACAGTACTTTTTTGCTCTAGGTATAATACTTTTATAGTGTAAACTACTACCACACTACACAAACATACAAGAAAATGAATCTGAAGCTTCCCTGAAATGGACAGGTATTGTTTCCATTTCAGAGATGGAAGACAATGCTGACTTCCATTCCAGTGGAGATATTCAATAGCCACAGTGACAAAAAGCACAGTTATGAAGCATGTGATACACATTCCTTACGAAAACCTTTCCTAAATGTACATTAAGTTCTTCCCACTGTTTCTCCCAAATCACACACATCTCCCAGGTATTACTTCAGGTAATACGTCATATACTCCAATGTAACTGTCTTCTCATAATATGGAGAAAAATTCAACATAAAAATTTCCAACTAAATACTGTAACGGCAGGAGCCTTATCTAATTATTTGTATAATAATTGATACACTAACATACAGTGCTGAAATAATTCCGAACACAAATCGAGAGACACAGAAACAACCGAGTTCAATGTAGTTGTCCACGTAACACAGTATATTGTCTCTGAAAATAACAGTACAAGACATGAAGAAATAATAAAGGATATATTCTATAAGCTGTCCATACAGGAAGTTTCTTCCTAAATGCATACAGATTGTACTAGTTATCTTATATCTCCAAAGAACAAGAAATCTCTTCTAAAAAGATTTTATACTAGTTATACTGTCTCAACTTCTTGTGGAACCTATTCAGGTTTTTGACTGTATCTTCTGGCAATCAGGTAGAATTGTCGTACATAACACAAATAGCATTTCCCCTTGTCATTTTCAAATTTGCCACTCTTTCTACTGGGATAAAGTATGAATATGACGCATCTAATTTACATTCTCTCAACCATACATTATATGCGTTCGCCACATGTCCTTTCTTCTCTCCAGTCCTTCTCGCCTCCTTGCCCACTTCAAAAAGACCTTTGACTGTACTTTCTTGCATACAGGTGATCACAACCAAACAGCATTTCAAATAAAACTGGACCATGAATTTCTACAGCATAATAATGATCATTTTCTATTCCATTTTTATGTACCTGAGTGTTTGCTTCTGCAACTGTGACTGCACTTTGAACAGATGGTTTCATTGAGCTGTCCACAATAACTTATTTTTCTACTGGATGGTTTCAGTTACTTTTAAAATATTAATTCAGGATTTTTTGTTTTAGATACTTTCTTCATTATGCATTACCTTGCACTTGCCAACACCAAGTTTCATCTGCCATTGTACTGCCAAAAACTATCTTTCCCCAACCCCTTTGTATGGCATTCCTCAGACTTTAGTCATCTCAACTACCATTTTTATAACTTCTGCAAAGTTTGACACTTGGGATGTCCAACATTTTTTCCACATTCTTAAAAAGTTACAGCTCTTTAGATCAAGCACCCTAGCATCCTCTGTAACTTCATCATTTGAAATTAAATTTTCCCCTTAGCTGGCTTCTAAACCTGACAATATTATACCTGCTATTCTTTGACTATTGATATGCCTCAAAAGCCTTGTTTCAAAAGAAGCTATTTAAGGTTTTACCTGTATCAGACAGTTTTCTCTTAGCCACTACTCTCTAGTAGTGGCTAAATAATTGAAGTTTCAGGCTAGTATACTGGTGAAGCACAAATTTTGTCTGCAGGAACAGTGCTGCTTTTTTTTTTTTTTTAAAAACATAAGTATGAAACTTTTTATGGAACAAGCTACTTTTCAGTATTTCAAAACAAAGTTAAGGTTTCTTATCCAGCTCCTCTATTATCCCAAAAACTTTAATAAGAGATGGAAATGTCAGATATTAGATCTCCACCATAACAGTAGCTCTAACGATGGAGCAAGATTTTTGCTAGTAGTTCAGTCACTTCAGTCTTCTGTTCTTTTAGATATTCTGGTTCTTTGCAATGCAACTCTTGACTCCTGTCCCTCTTCATCTATTTGTTCCACAATATTTTCTTTGGATATCCTGTATTTTGAGAGTTGCCTCCATGCAACTAATACAAAAGCTCAGTGGTTTTTTTAGCCTTCTGTTTTATGAGATTGAAGCAGAGGATTTTTTTCTATGTGCTGTGCTTATCCTGTAAATAATTCTTTGGTACTTTAACAGACCTACTAATTCTCCGATTCCTTTTGATTCCTGCTTCCAGTACACCTTTACTCGGGGGTTTAGTTGTTTAAGAGTATTTTATTATTACATTAACGGAACACTATAAAAAGCAGGGTTAACTAACCAAAAGTAAGAATTACATCAAAATTAGAGTTGTACCAGGAGAGAAGTTACAGTAAATTTTTAATAATGGTTGGAAAAAATACTTTTCCCACCAACCGTGTACTCGATAACTGAACAGTTTATTCAAACTATTAGAAAATAAAAGAAACACATTTAAGTAGAAGAGTAAAAAGACTGAAAGTTTATACAAATTAACAGCAACTGAAAACATGATCGGAAG